TGGTTTTACAATTGGTATCAGAGCGGGCACTACACCTTAAGTAGTGTAGATCCGACTCTAAGTCATCTCTATGGAAAGAGATAGAGCTCATTGCTCTGTGGCTCACCCACCATTATTTAATGGTGAATACTACTCTGCTTGGAAACACAAGATGCGTGCCTTCTTACTTGCCTTAGATTCTAAGGCTTGGAAAATGACTACAGATGGTTGGAATCCTCCAACCACCATTAATCCTTTTGGGGAACGTGAATTAAAAGAGGAGGATGTCTGGACTGTTGAAGAAAAGATTTTATCAAACTCAAATAGGAAAGCCTTGAATGCCTTGTTTGTTGCTGTGAACCCTGAACAATTTGCCTATATTGAAAACTGTGATACTTCTAGAGAAGCTTGGGATATTCTTAGGCTTACTCATGAAGGAGATGAGAAAGTTAAAGAAGCTAAGTTAGACATGGTTAGTGCTGAGTTTGAGAGTCTTAAAATGCAAGACTCAGAAACCATTCAAGAATTCTATGCAAAGTTTAGTGCCTTAGCTAACTCCTCTCACAACCTAGGTGAAAAAATCCCAGAAATAAAATTGATAAAGAAATTCCTTAGATCCTTGCCTAATAGGTTCGATGCTAAGAGAACTGCTTTTTCTGAAATGAGAGATCTCACAACTGTTAAACTTCATCAAGTCATCGGGTCGTTCAGAACCTATGAAATGGAAATGAATATGAACCTCTCTAAGAAAGCCAAAAATATTGCTCTCAAGTCTGTCAAAGAGGAAGAAAGTTCTTCCTCTCTAGATAATCTTGTTACTGAGGACGAGATGGCTCTTTTTACCAGACAGCTCAGGAAGTTTCTCAAACTTAGAAATTCAGGAGGTAATCAAAATAATTTTCAATTGAACTCTGGTTTTGACAAAAATAAGAATGCTGCTCATTCTGATTTTAGAGAAAAGAAACCAGGAGGTTCCGTTAAATGTTATGAATGTGGTGGTATAGGTCATATTGCTCATGAGTGTGCAAACACTCTTAAAAAGCAAAGTCAGTTAAGTGATAGTGAAGATGATTCTATGAATGACTCTTATGACGATGAAAGTATTGTTGCTTTTGTTGGTAAATTATCCACTAAACCTGATGAAGAAAGTGATAATGATGTTGAATTAATTGATAGTGAGGATGAGTTAATTCAAAAGTATGAAGAACTTGTGAAAGTTTCTTATAACATAAAGAAACAAAGTGTGCATCTTTCCAGTAAAGTTCTCATGCTACAACAAGAAAATGCAGACTTGTCTAACATTGTGAGTCAACTTAAACAAGAAAATGAGAAGTTAAAACTTGACTTAGACTTGTCTAGAAAGAGGGAAATTGATTTTACCATTGGTGCTGAAAAAATAGATAACATGATAAAAATGGGAAAATCTTTTGGTGACAAATATGGTCTTGGCTTTACTCCTGAAACTGTCAAAATAAACGAGAAAGTCAAATTTGTAAAAGCTGTGGATTCTGTGGAAACTGTGGATCAATCTGAAACTTATATGGCTCAATCCGTATCAGTTATGGATCAATCCGGTGTCAGCAAGTTTCAATCCAAACAAATCCAAAATCCACCCTCTGTTTACAATTCTAGAACTAAGGGTAATGCTTCAGGATCAGGTCTGTCTAAGAAAAATCACTTCATCCCAGTTTGTCATTTTTGTAATAAAAAGGGACACATTAGACCTAATTGCTTCAAACTAAAAGGAAAGAATGTTTCTCTAAGTTTAGAAAAACAAGTTCAAAATCTGTTAAGTGAAGTTGCAATTATTTCAAACATGTTAAGATCTAATCAAGCAACTAAAGTGCCAACTAAAAAGGTTTGGGTGAGAAAAACTAATCAAACTTGTCTTATTGCCTTGAATGCTTTATCTGTGAAAAATTCTAATGCTCGGTATTTTGATAGTGGTTGCTCTAATCACATGACTGGTGACAAGAGCTTGTTTCTTAATTACTCTCCCATATCTAGTCTTGGGAGTGTGACCTTTGGTGATGGTAGCAAGTCAAGTATACTAGGAAGAGGAACCATCTTTGCTCCAGGAATTAATAAGCTTGAAAATGTCTTGTATGTTGAAAATCTGAAATCAAATCTAATTAGCATAAGTCAACTTTGTGATCAAGACACTTGCAATGTGAGCTTCAGTAAAGGAAGATGTGTTGTCTCAAACAAAGAAGGAAATGTTGTCTTGACTGGTCTAAGATCGAGTGATAATTGTTATTGTGTGGAGACCAATTTTTTTTCTAATGATCTTGCTTGTAATCTCTCAAGAGACGACTCTATGGTGTTATGGCATCAAAGATTAGGTCATGTCAATCTCAAGAATATTGAGAATCTGTCTAAAAAGGAAAACCATCTGTCAGTGGTCACCAAGCTATCTTTTTCTAAAACTAATGAGCCTATCACTTCTGAGGTTGTTCACAGTTTTGTGGAACATAGTCCTACTACTTGGGTTAGAAGGGACCATCCTAGTGACATCATTCTTAACGACCCTACTGCTGGAGTTAAAGCAAGAAAACAATTTGTTGAGGAAACTGATTCTGTTTGTTTCTTGTCACAAATTAAACCAAAGAACAAAAAGCTTTATATCTTTAAATTCTTTGATCTCATTAGTGACTTGTTTCTGAATGCTTGCATGCTCTTTCATCTGTTTTTATTTTGGGATGCAATTGTAATTGATTTGGTCTTAATCACAAAATATTGCTGTTCTTTAAGTCTCTGTGCGAACATAGACAAAAGGTTCAATTTTGTGCATATATGGATTGATACAAATACTTTCTGTATTAATACATTTGGTATCTTTACCAATCCCTGTGGAACTCGCAGCAACCCTTATCATTATCATATCAATCTGTCTGTTTGTTGTTCCAATCCAGGTGGTCGTTGTACATTCATTTGTTGTTGGTATAACAGTTCTTGTCGTTTTGTACCAATACGTTTATGTTTGTACCAATTATTGTGTTTCAAACTAGCAAATACTTGTGCTTTGTTTATGGGGGAGCTTGTATTGCTTGGTTTGTGGGGGCGCTTGTACTGCTTGGTTTGTGGGGGAGCAAAATGGACAAGCTCCATTGTCTTGCTTCTCCCTTTGTCTTTTCTAAGACAAAAAGGGGGAGAAAAATTGCAATTCTGTTGACTAAACTTTGTTTATTTTTGGAACCTTATCGTTGAAATCTTTTAATCCTTCTTGTGAAGCTTGTGCAGGTTCCATGCTCAATCAATGCCTTTTGATAGTTTTAGATAAGTTAGTCTTTGAATTTCATTTTGGTTTTTTGTTTAAGAAAAGGCCAAAGGGGGAGATTGTAAGGTTTTCATTTGGACCTTTATTGTATTTTGGCTCTTCTCTTAAACCTACAAAACCCTTGTAATATTAATTAGATTCTAGATTAGAATCAGTGTGGGTTGAAGGACTACTTTGTCTCCTCGTTGCAGTTCAAAGGTAAAACTCATATGCATTTTCATTGGATTAATACATGTTCACGTGTATTGATCCAACTTTCAATTTTGCCTGTTTGCTGCAACATTTCTCTTTATTTCAGCCTTAACTTATCTTTATCTCCTTCCCTGTCAAAAAGGCTGACAAACACGTGAGAATATTTTTCCTACTCTCAAAACGTTTTTTCCCAAAAGGTTTAAACTTTTCAATTGTTTATTAGTTTTTAACCCATACCTCTTGGCTGTTATCTTCTTGACTGCCACCTTCTCAAAATGATGGGTTATAAACTAGTTTTTAATTCCACTCTTCAAACCTTGATTCAAAGTGCGGCTCCTTGGTGTTTCTTAAACAGACAATCACATGCCTTCAGTTTTGTTTCCCAAAACTGTGTCAGCACACTTTGCATACAAAAAGAATAATTCTTTCTTTATTCTTTTTTCTGTCTTGAACCGCTCACTTTCTCTTAAGTCTGTGGCTGAGTGTTTTGTCAAAGGCTTTATAAATACTCCTCCGGACAGACTTGCTAGTGTGTGGCTAAAACTCATGCATTCTTATTAAAATGTCTTATGCTTTCTCTCTATATACTTGCTGTGCATGAAAACCGAGTGGTGTGGAAATACTCTGAAAAGAGTTGTTTCCTTAAGCCAATAGCTCTCACTCTTGAGGGTTATGAGAATGATTGCATTCACATAAGTGCTTCCCCAAGATGACCTTAAATCTTTGATGGCTGGCTCGTTTTTTCCTTACTTCAAATCTTTATAATTGTTTCAGCTAGTATATGTTACTTGAGAGTATACGATTGATAGTATGCATTTAAACTTCTCCAAGTATACATTTACAAGATTTCGGCTGTAAACTATTTTTGTGTAGTGTTTATGTTGAATTAAACTTTATGCTTCAAATACATTACTTCTAGTTTATTCATCACAACACCAATGTTTCATTCGTCTAGCTCAATCATGCTCAATGATTGAGATAGATGAATTTATGAAACCATAACTCACTCCATACATCAAATTACATACAACTAGAGCTTGGTGCTCTTGAGAGGATTTGCTGCTAAGAGATGAAGAAATGGTGCTTGCTGAAAGGTTGATTGAAGCTGCCTATAGGTGATAGATTGAGCTAAGTCTTCCTTCATTAGGGCCTGGTTTTACAAAAGATAAGGCTTCATGTCCTGTGGTTGCATTTACCATGAGCTCAATTATAGGTAATGGAAAGTCATCCTTAGGGCAAGCCTCGTTTAAATCTCGGAAGTCAACTCAAATACGAATCTATCCAGTAATCTTCTTCTTCACCAGAACAATATTCGTGATCCACGTTGGATATTTCACCTCCCTAATGAATCCGGCGGTGATCAACTTATTGACTTTGGCTTCGATCTGACCTAGAAGCTCTGGGCGGAAGCGACGTTGAGTTTGTTTGATCGGACGTGTTCCAAGCTTGACTGCAAGGTGATGGACATCAACTTTTGGATCGAGGCCTGGCATCTCCTTATACGTCCAAGCAAAGACATCTTTATACTCAAACAGCAGTTGATGATATGATTTCTCTTCACTAGGGTTTAGGAGTGCACTAACGAAGATAGGTCTAGGGTCTTCACTTGTGCCCAAGTTGAGTTCTTTTAATTCATCTAAAGTCGCTTGCCCCCCATCTTCTAGCGCCGGAGGGGCTTTGTGAACCTCATCCTCGAAAGGTTCCTCTTCATCAAGCTCTTTAATCGTAACACGATGAACAACCAGGACCTCTACTTCTTCATCATCACCTTTGTTTTGCTGACTCAAAGTTTTCCTAGTATGTATGATTGTTCGTTGTTTCACTTTGAGCTGGTCACCTGAAGTTACGTCTAATGTAGAGTGAAGTTTCATACGTGACGGGATTAGGCTTTGAATTTCATTATCTTCTGTCGAATCAATATGAACTCCACCTTTCAATTCTCACTGGTTTTTCTCTTTAGATAGCTTGCTTGAAACTCCGTGTCTTTCTAGCGCCGATCTGTGTGAAGCTGATCGAATTCCCCTTTGGCTATTATATCCAGTTAACCTTTTGAACACAGAGGGCTGAGATGTTGATTCTTTGATGCGGCTAAAAACTAAGGTTTGTTGGGTAGGCTTGGCTAAACCGTCAGACACTGAGGCTCTCTTAGTAGACTTTAATTCTTCCTCCTCTTCGACCACTTCAGCACTAATGTGTTGAGCATCTACCTTCTTTTCTTTCCTTCTAGCAGAGATCTTAACCGGTGCGATAGGAGTAAAACCAAGGCCTGCTCTAGCTGAGTCGATTGCATAATGCTGCTCCTTCAACTTTGGGTTTTGGTAAGGCCTGTGTCCTTCCTCCGGTGATGCCTGGATTAAGCTCTCACAGCGAAGGAGATAAGCCAAAGTCATAACCTGCCTTTGACATGAGTTTATAAGCATTAGGATCAAAACCTTCTTTAGTTCTTTTGACCGGAAGATATTCGTGTCTTGTTGCGTCTTGTGATGGTCTGACGAACCCCGGTACTGAAGGTTTTGAAATATCTGAATTGCTCAACTTGGGCAAAGGCATGGTTGTCGACTCCTTCAAGAACTTCATATTACTTTCCCCTAACTTTCTTGGTTTTACTTCTTTTCCAAATGAGGATTGTCCTTCCTTCCGTCGGGACGATGACACATAGCGAAGAACAGGAATAGACACATTTCGTGAATCTATTGATGATGATCCCGTTTGTCCAGACGAAGTGTTATTCTTATTGTCATTTTCCTCAATGGGAAGGCACTTTGAATGCTCATCTCTTCTTGGTATGGCCTTGCCTATTTAGTGAACCTCAACGGGAATAACTTTAGATGTCACGTCTTCATCAATGTAAAACTTGGCGTTGGCGAAATAGGACTCAGCTTCGGTAAATGGTTTGACATAACCCAAGATTTTCCTCACTCCACCTCTATAAAATTTGAAACACTGATGTAAAGTTGACGGCACTATCCCATTTTCATGTACCCATGGCATTCCTAAGAGAAGATTGTAGGAAGTCTTAGCATAAATCACGTGAAATAGGGTGTTTGACTTTAAGTCACTTATCACGAGCTCAATTTTGATGTTTACTGCCAAACCATCATCCACGAGCATGCAACTAAGTTTCTGTTCTCGCATGTACCTTGACACAAAAAGCGGACGGTTGTGGTTTGGACCCTAACAAGAGATCTTCATCGGTGAATGCGATGGAAGCACATGTTGCGCAACAAATAGCATGATCTTGAGATTCATGCTCCAATCTTTTAGCCCTTCTTGTTTGATTTGGATGAATATTGAGATCCATTAGCACCAATGCTATACGTATTGCTTCAGGAAGTTGCATCGCTTCCTCAATATTGAAGTGCGATGGTGATTCCTTTGCTTGTGCTGAGACTTTTGACTCTTCATGAGTCTCAGATTTTCCTTCCGAGGCATCTTCATCATCTACTTGATAGCAAGTTGTCATATGAACTACCTCCATCGGCCCTCTTACGAAGAACACTTTTGGAAATTATTCTCCTAACATAATTGGAATCTGTGGCCCTTGGATTAGTGGTCCACTTTCTTGGTTAGAGTCTCTACTCACCATCATTTTGGTTTTGCTCTTAGAGTATTGGTGCGAGCTTCTCTTTCGCTGCTCCTTCTTTGATTGAGCATTTTGTCGTTGAGGAGTGCGCTTCGTACGAGACTTCCTTCGAGTAACGAGCATCCATCCTTAACCGTCATCGAAAGGTGAGACGAAGCCATCATAACCTCGACTAGTCAGTTCCCCCACCACTTCTTTTGCACACAGATCAGTCACATGGTGTATGCCCCTTATTAATTGAAACTCCGGTCTTGGCGACAATGCGGGCAACGGCACGGGATCAAAGGATCCAAACACAATTGTGGCAACGTTCGCGTCTGTGATTTCGTCAATGTCCAACTCAATCCTTCCTTGCCTAGCCAAGTTCATAATTAGCTCCTTCAACATGAAGCACTTCTCTACTGGGTGGCTGACAATTCGGTGGTACTTGCAAAACTTAAGGTTCTTAACCCAGTTCATCTCTTCAGGTTGCTTACATTCTAGCAATTTGATCACCTTTTTTACAAGCAAGTCCTCAAGCATACCTGCAACATCGAAGTCAGGGAAAGGGTACGTCTTTCCTCCGTGGCTGGCGATACTCAACTCCATATCATGGGCACGAGTGGCTAGCTCCTCAAACGTGCGGGGTTTAATCCCTTGTAGAATGTAGAGTAACCCCCAATGCATCCCTTGAATGCACATCTCAACTATCGATATCTCCAAAAGCCTATCCTTGCAATCTAGGCTTAACGAGCGCCATCGATTGATGTAATCGATGACAGGTTCATCTTTCCATTGCTTGGTATTTGTGAGTTCCATCATACTCACGGGTGCGACGAGTGCTATAGAATTTGTTCAAGAATTCTAGCTCCATTTGATCCCAATTGTCGAGGGCCTCGGACTCTAAGTCTGTATACCAATCAAATGCATTTCCTTTTAAGGAACGAACAAATTGTTTCACCAAGTGGTCACCCTCCGTCCCAACATTGTTGCATGTTTGTTGCACGTTTCGACGAAGTGTGCAACATGTTGTTTTGGGCTGCCCTTTCCATCGAATTGTTGGAATTTGGGAGGTTGATATCCCATTGGCATCCGCAGGTTGTCTATCCTCTTGGTCTATGGCTTGGAATATATGAGCGTGTTTTGGGAAGGAGCTCCATATTGAACCCTGATGGTGTTCGCGATCATGTCCTAAAGTTGACAAACAAAGCGTAATTCAAACAATGCATACATTAA